ATCGAGGTTGGTTAGGTTTAAACCTATAAAGTGACTCGTACAAATGATTTACATACATTAATTCTTAACATATAACACAAAATAGATCATTAGACTCGTATGTTTCTTTCTATTGATGTCTTGGTAGTAATAATCTTTGGAGATTCAAATTGATTGAAAACTATCAAGTGCATTTCATTGATTTTTTACTTATTATATCAATATATCTATTAAACATTTTTTAGCTCAATGGATACAGTTGCACACTTAACTTCTCTTAAGCTAGATTTTCTTAGACATTGATCCATTTACCAAAATTTGGTAGGAGATTATAAACACACATTTCATAATCCAAATATTCCACATTATCCCAAAACCCAAATTTTCTAGTGTCATTTGTAAAATGATCCATTCCACCATGTCATAAGATTTATTCGTGTAAATAATAATGGTTGTTATCATTTTTTTTTTTATTTTGAGTGTTTCATGTAATGCATTGCTTCATAGGCAAGTAGAATATTGTTAGAGATGGCTTCTCTATGAATAGAAGTACTTTCATAAATATGACTTTTTCTAGCTTCAATTTAAACCCCTGTTTGGGAATATTTATATAAACTTATTCAAATAAGTACTTATTTTAAGTGTTGGGATAACACAATAAGTGGAAAATAAGTACTTATTTGTATTTGGCAAATAAACCCAAACTAAGTGTTTATTTTGAAGCACTTAAAAAATAGGTTAGAGTTGGGTGGTTTTTAGGTGCATATTGAATAAGCACTAAATTCTTTTCCTTTTAGGACAAAACTGACTCCAATATTTTGTTTAATTTCTAGGGATTGTCCACATCTGCAAAAGGTCAATAAAACCCTATTGTTTTTATCTCCATTGAATGTTAACTTATAATGGTTGCAATTATTGTGGAATCTTGGTCAGTAGCAACAATTATCATTTTCTCTCCATTGAGTTAATATAATATTCATAAATATCAAATATATGCATATGTTAATTTAGTGATATAATTATGATTTTTTGCAAATACAAGTACTTGTGGGATAAACAACTCACCAAACACTACAACACAAATAAAGTACTTAAAATAAGTATAAGTAGTTTGAGAAAAGACCTCTCAAACACTAGTAAGTACTTGATTAAAAAAATATTTATTGAATTACACTTATTATATCAAGCACTTATTTCCAAAGCAAGTCTATTTGCTAATTTTTTTGCAGCTATATTGTAGATAGCGTTACACAAGACTTATGGGTCATAATTAAAAATCAGATTCGAGGTTCTTCATCATAAGAACTATGGTTATGAAAGTGGAGTTACTTCATAAATTAATTTCCCTTAAAAAAATCGCAATTTCCTTTATGATGTATTATTTTATTGGCCCCAATGATTATAGAAAAATAGATTTGGGAGCCCATCAGGTCTCGAAGCTTCTCGATCAGCCATTTGGAAAACAACATGTTTAATTTTCTTAGGAATAACATTCATATGGAGATCTTCATTATCCTCACTAAGTATCACGACTTGAATGTTCTTTAGGGCTTTATCTATATTCAAATAGTTTGATGTGGCAAAAATCTATTCAAAATGATTGACACAAATTTTTCTTATTTGTTTCATCCACTCCCATAAGTTATCTTCTAGCTTTAGCACTATGTTTGTAGCTATTTTCCTTATGGTTGCACTATGGATTTTTCTATCCTCATGGGATAGTCAGTTTACTCTTGATTTTTGAGCCCATAAAATTTTCTCTATCCTTGGCAAAAAATCTTCCTTTTATCCCCATTTCATTTTCATATAATTGAAATCTGAACCATGCTTTGCTTTTTTCTTGGACAACTCCAACTTTGCTTTTTCAATTTGATCTTACACCTTTATGAATTCATTTTTGTTCAATTTATAAAGGATTCCCCTCAGACTTTTATACTTCCACCCCATTGGTCTTTTATATTATTATCTATCCTCTCTACACCAACTTTCCTTGATGATTTCCTCACACCTTTTATGGTCCATCCACATTTCTTCAAATATGAAGGGTCTGTTAAATTGTTTTGTAACTAACTTCTATTAAGGTAGATTAGGAGGTGATAAAATCCATACAAAATTTTAGAAAAAACAACATATTGATACAATTCTCTTCGTATAGTGTTGCACAATCCCCCATCTAACTTAACATTGATATTTCCATCCCTTTCCTTATTATTTGACCAAGTGTGTTTAGACCGAATCTCTTCAATCACCCAACCCCTCAAAAGATATATGTTCCTCGTATTGATCAATTTTTCTTAGTTTCCCATAATTTGTTCACCTTTGTGGAAGATCCTATTAAAGTCACCAATGCAACACCAAGCCCCACCATTCTCTCAACCAACAAATTCGTTTATCATAAAAAAAAATCCATTTGTCCTTTTTGCTTCACCATAAACAAAGGCACATCACCAATCCTTATCATTCTCCTCTTCAGTTTTTGTATGGATATAACATCCTTTCATGGCTAGCACCTTTAACTTCACAAAGTTATCCCAAAATAAATAGCTAAACCACCTGTTATACCCTTGTGGTCAACATCCCAATAGTTCCACTTAAGCAAAATTTTGAACTTTTTGTTTACACCTTAGGCAACTACATTTTGTCTCGTTGAAAAAATATGATGTTTTGCTATACTTATAAGGGACACTTTTGCTACATGAATTGTTAGAGGAGATTCTAACCCTTAAAATTCCAACACCAAACATTCATTTTCTAGTTTCCACTGAGGCTCAGTTTGGAAGGAGTACAAATTCAATTTTGTAGAGTGCAAAACCTTGAATTTTGTATCAGTTTGTACGTATTTGTAATGTACATATTTGTATTTGTACTCCTTCCAAACTAATCAAGAGGGAGTTGTTGAGGGACAACTCCTACAAACCCTATATCTATAAAACAAAGGTCAATGGTACAAATAAGATCACAAATTCCCTTGCTTTAAACTCTAAAATTTCTATTTTTCCACTTTACCAAAATCTAAAGCACCCATGTTCTATAAAGTTGCCATTGCATCAAAGCCTAGAGAATTACCATTGCAAACTATTTTGTGATTTGTTTTCTGTTTTCAAATACCACACACACAAATTTATTGAGTTGAAACAAATAGAACACAAACACCACTCCTTACCTAAACAACTTCTTGATACATTAAAAATTGAGAGAAAACATTTGGACATCCATTTTTTTGTGTTTCACTTGTAATTTACACCCCCTACCCCCTACATTTCAGGGATCGATGGGGTGCATCATTTCCTGTCTTTTCTTTTCAAGTTATGGAGTCTTCTATGAGTGAGAGGGTTACAACCATCCAGAGATTTATAGTCTGTATGTTGTCACACCTAGGTTTGTTCGAAATTAGATTACCAATATCAAGATGAGTACGGTACACAAGTTGTGGATTCAAACTATTGTTTTAACAGTTAACGATAAGCTTTATAGACACCAAAGTTAAATTTGAAGGAAAAATCATCAACAACTTTTTCTAGTTAATGAAAGCATGAACTTAGAACGAAATGAGTTTTGGGTTAGTACCTTTGGCTTTGATGCGTGAATCAAATTCAAATTTACGTAATTTTATTTTCTTTCTTTCATCCTTCGATTCCATAGGAAAAATCTCTCCACCACCAACATTCTTTGCAAGAACTCCCCATGTCTTTGCTGTTCTATATTCCATGGGGACATTTGGAACTCTGACCTTAATATCTAAGGTTTTGAAACTAAGTCCACTTGGGATATCTGTTGGTGTTCCTCTCACGAGAAGCTGGGGATATTATTTAATCATCCATAGTTCTTCCTCTCTCATGTAAAAGTTATTGAGAGAACATCACCACTTGTCCTTTCAATCTCAAAAACCTCTTATGTCCACCACCGCATTTCTTGATCTGATCCATTATCCCAGGATTGCTAAAAGGGTTTATCCACCGAAATGGTTGCATATATCAAGGTTCAAATTTGGGGCATATCGTATTGATGGTCCCAATACACATGTTTATAGGTGTTTTCAATAACCCATTTTTTTAAATAATATATATTTATTTAAAAATGAAACTTGAAAAAAACTTAAAAAAATGAGTAAGGTTTAAAATATCGATACTTTGAAGTTTGAACTATGCATTATAATCCAAACACTTGATCACCTAGAGGCTCTTTCTTATTGATGAGCTTCTTGTCTCTTTTCCTTTCTCCATCCTAAGCTCCTTCCATCCAAGGGTGTCAATGGACCGATTTTGGATTGGACCCCGTCCAGTCCAAAACCAGTTTGGATGGATTGGATGGACTAACAAGACATATTGGATCGGACCAATCCGGTCCAAAATATTTATTAGATTGGATTTGACTTGGTCCGGCCGTAACAAATTTATATTGGATTGGGTTGGATTAAGCCAATATCTAATCCATTGATATAAGATAAGAATATATGCAACAATGGACCGGGTTTAAAACCAATCTAAATCAAAATGAATTTAAACATATTAGACGGTCCAGACATTGAATTGGACCGGTCCAAATTAATCCAAAACATTCATTGGATTGGATTGGACCTGGTACATTTATAATGAACTCACATTGGACCAGATTGGATTGGACCAAATCCTGTCCAATTGACACCGCTACTTCCATCAAAACAAACCATCCTATGGCTTACACTACCTTCCCGACACCTGATACCACTTCTCATTCACATGGAGTTAAGATTGACTTAGCAAGTTAGTAATTTGTATGGGATGGCAGTTTGTAATTTGTCCTAAAGATCCTAATTCCTAAATATTATAGAAATATGCATGTATGCGTTTTTCATTTTTTTATTTTATATTTTCCATTTCAGCGAGTGGGGCGGTTAAATCGGATCGGGCGATTGGATCACTGGACTCGCGAGTCAGTGGTTAAAACTTATGCATCACATCCGAGTCTGACCACAACACTGATATCGTGTGCGCGAGCGAGCGAGCAATGAAAACTAAATACTCACAATAAATAGACTGTTGTTTCCTTTAACCTGTTTACCCCCAAAAACCTCACAAAAAGCGCCTCTCTGGTCTGCGTTTGGCCTTCGTTCTCCGATGGAAGACGATGACGAGTTCGGAGATCTCTACACAGACGTCCTCCGCCCAATCTCTTCATCTTCCGGTCCTCAATCGCAACTGTTCTCCTCCGGTGCTTCTGCCTCTGCAAAGCATCCGCCTGATCTGAACCTTCAGAGCGATGACGAAGATGTCCTGTATGGAGCTCCCGATCCCTCTTTTACCATACCTTCTCAAAGACCACATTTAGAGCCCATCAAGACCAAGACGGATGCAATTCCCGATTACAGAACCGACGCCGCTCCGAATTCGAAGGTTATTGATAGGGTGATGAAGCAGGAAGTCAAGGTGGAAGAAGAAGAGGAAGTGGTGGCTAGGGTTTCGCATGTTCGGGTGTTGGATTCGATAAAGGTGGAAGAAACTAGGGTTCCGGGGACTGGAGATGGTGAATTACAGCAGGCTGGGGAAGCTAGGGTTCTGGAAACTGCAGAACCTTTGGAGAAACCTGGAATTGGTGAAGTTCAAAGCGAGAAAGATGCCAAAGATAAGATCAATTTGGAGAAAGATAACATTTTTGCACGGGAAGAGGAAGGGGAGGGGTTGGATATTGATGTCGGAATTGGTGATTTGGACTCAGAACCGATAATTCCTGGGCTTTCTAGTGGTCCGTTTATTCCTGGTGTACTTGAAAGTCAAGGAAACGAGGAAGATATGAAAGCATCTCGAAGGGATGATAGCGGTGGTGCTGGAGATGATTGGGATAGTGATAGCGAGGATGATCTGCAGATTGTTCTAAATGATAACGTTGGGCCTCTTGGCGTTGATAGGAACGAAGCAATGGGAAGTGATGACGAAGATGAAGACGGTGAAGATTTGGTTATTGTTGCTGATGGTGACCAGCATCATCAACCTGTTGAGGAGCAGGAATGGGGTGACGATACAGCTCAGGCACCCGATGGAGAGAGGAAGGAAATAGGCGAGGCGTCAAAAGTGAATGGAGGAATGGTTAATGCTGCGGGGGCAAGAATTGGGTATAGCGGTCATGGATATCATCCACACCACTCTCAGTTTAAGGTCAGTTTCTTGATAAATGTTGCCTGAAAGAAAGTGCTAACTGTACAAGTATTGAAACTTTTGTTGTACATTATTCTTTTGTTATCCCATTGTATGGGAATGAGAGTTGTAACTTGAAACTAAAATAATTGGTATTAACTGTAGTATGTAAGAGCTATTTGCCTTACTGAAGGCTGTTATGAATAATTCTAGCTCCCACTTTGGATATATATGTATATATATATTTTTTCATACTTCGGCTTCTCTGCATCGAACTATTCCGTAACCTGAGGTAATTGAAAGAGAAGACTCAAACTGAAGAGAAAGGTAGAATCCATAATGAAGGTGATGGACGTTAACCCGACAATGATTTCATTTCTATCCACAACCCGTAGACAGGAAATAGAATTAAAAGTTTGATGCTTCATGGGAATATACTGAGATGTGGGCGGTTGTAAATGTTGTGTTCCGTTTTCAGTGCTTGGCAAGCAAATTCCAGGATAGATCTCACGTAAACTGTTACCAAACAAAAGAAAACAAAAAGAGAACACACTGCTGGATTTATTTCCTTGGCATCATATTGGAGGAGCTTAATGTTTCATCCAGAAGCTACTCTTTATCATGAATTCATGATCTAATTTCTAGATTGAAGAGGAGCCTCTTATCTCATTGCTATTGAAAGGGAAAATGTCTTGGAGCTGCTGATCAAAAGGTGGTTGGGAGAAAGAAATTAGAATTAGAAATACAACATAATTATACATGTATTAATATGAATAAATAGAGCTCTAAATAGGATACATATTTAAAATTGATATATAGAATTAGATATGGATTTTTATTTTAAATTCTTTATTTCCATTTTATCTGGTTTAAATTACTTTTCTTTAGAGAGAGTCCAATTTGAGGTGAAATCAAGAGTCTTATACTCTTATTTGTATAATAAAGAGTTTGATATGTTTATATTATATCAGAAAAAAAAATTGAAGTATAAATCAAGGTTCAAAATATTGATACTGCCAATACACTGGTAGGGGCGTATCGGCCTGTATCAAAGCTCATTTCTCCTTTTTTTTTTTTTAGTTTTTTTAAAACCTGGCTCAGAGGGGTCGGTTTAAGGCCTGTCTACCCCCTGAACCGGGTTAAACCCCGAAACACCCCTTGTAGGGGCGTATTGGGAAGCCCCCAATATGATACATATTGGCCGATAGGCCCAATACATATCAAAATTTTGAACCTTGGTATAAATAGGATTCTATTTGATGAATCTTGACATGTGACATGATGACAGCAAACAAACAAAGCTAGGTAGGTGGTTTGAATAATTTGATCAAAATTCATTTTTTTTTCTAAACTAAGCAAATTAGTTATTGGATGAGTTGACAATTATAAAATAGTTTAGATCAACTAAACTGGTATATTATCCATATTCATAGAAGTGCATTTATGAATATGATGATTTTTTTTTGTATTTCTAATAATGTGAAGTGGCTACTACTTACTAATGTTAATAATTCAAGAAAGAAAGGTGGCAACCAGAATTTTCCCCAAAAGTGCATATCAGAATTCTCCCCAGACATAGATGGTCATCTCAACATAGTCCCATTGACAAGGGCTCTAAACTATTATTAAAAAAAGCACAATATTCCCTTTTTTATACTAATGCGGTACACTATGCTTAATAAAGAAAGATAAAAGAAAAGAAAAGAAAAGGATCAAACTGTTCATCTTTCCAATGGTTTACATGTAGCTTCCAGAATCCAATAAAAAAAACATGTAGCTTCCAGAATTGCTGTAGTTATAGTTGTTCAACAATGAGTTAATTTGCCACATTAGTGAAATTGATAAAAATATCATCTCTCATATTCAGTACAATTATACATTCACAGTCCTTATCATGACCTGAATATGGCAAGGATACAGCTCAATACAGTATTGGATATGAAAGTCACACTAAAAATTGAAGTATCTTTGTAGGGGAGTATTTGAGAATCGTAGCTCATGATGTAGTTGATAAATTCAAGGCATTTTTGTTAGTTTTTGCATAAAGCATTCATCATTTCCTCAATAATTAGGTATGCATTTTTGATGAATGAGGAAGAACAAACCCCAAAATCTGCTGTGCTTATACTAATTGAATGTTTCAAGATGAAACATAATTAATGCATCCAATTCTGTTAAAAACGTTACCCAAAAAAACTATCTTCTGAACTCTTTATGGTGAATCATGAATGTTAATAAACAATGAGTGCATGCAGTTCTTGGGCTCTTTGCCCTACAGATCTGGTGGGACTGATTAAAAGATACAGTAAAAGGCATAGCTGGATGTGCTTGGACATGCCTTTGACCTTGTCTGTAGGACTTGTTCTTACTAGCATTGCTCCTTAAATATCATGGGCCACTGAAACAGTATGGCTTTTCCTATTGTAAACCATTTCAATTGTGACAACCTTCTTATCAACGTTTTGTTTATGCTAACAAACCACAAAGGGGTGACAGGGGGTCGGGGTTACTACATGGCCTCAACTAGTGAAGTATAGATATGGGGTTAGATAGCATCTGCTAGCCTAACTTAATAGTACTTTAACCATTGAGAATATTATTCTTTTCTCACAATCATAAAAATTTTATGTTTCCAATAAAAAAAGAAAAACCACAGTACCACACAGAATTGACAATAATAAAAAACTATTTTTGACTTTTACTTTTGGTGCCATGAGTAACAACTCCTTGATATGAGCAATTCTCTACTTCTATTATTTGAAACCTGTATAATCTTGATATTTGTTGCAATCTAGTATTCCATATTGACTGAGATGGTTTCCTCGCTCTCTCTCTCTCTCTTGGTGCCTATAAAGTGTTTTTCCCCTACACTACTTTGTTCGTCTGAATTTTGGCATTTTAGAACTTGTTGCTTCCTCCCAGTCTTGCTGTCATTATTTCATGCTGATTTCCACTTCCAAGTTATCAGGTTTGGATGTGTTGGTTATGCAATATTTTAACTAGTTTTCATTACTTGTGTTTGTCTCCTTGATACCTTTTGTTTAAAATGGAGGAGAGGAGAAATGGCACATGTCTTGTTTCTTTGTAGACTCTCATTACTTACACTTGCAGCATTACATTTCTTCCACCTTTAGATCTGCACACTTGCTTTATGGAGGGTTTCTGTTTCTTAATTTCTGTTTATGCTTTTTGACAACTATAATGGAAGGAAAAAAACAATTTCATCTCCTCCAAACTGTCCATTTTCTTTCTTATTTTGGTCTATATGCTCATTACATTTTCTGATCTACATATGGATTCTTAACTGTTCATTATGTGGTGGTTCTATTATCTCAATGAACATGTTCTTTTAATTTGCACATAAGTCCAGCTAAAATTCCAACTGAAGAGATGTACTACATGCCGCACCACTATATGATAGATTTGTTGGTTAATGGGACTTTATTCTTTATATAATCCTTAATCAGAGCTGCAGCCACTTGTAAAGGAAGAGTTATTTCTAAGCACTCGCATCCAAACATTTGAAGATTGAAACAGTGTCAAATAAAAGTGTGATTTCTATCTTATTTGTTTTACAATACGATTTAGGAGGGTACCTGCAAAATATCAGGACAATGTACAGCATTTTCTCAAGTATTTATTTTGAACATTAATAGAATCTTTTTTAGTTCTCTAACTGTGGAAACTTCTCTGGTAGGAATCAGATTATTCTTTCACATTCATCAAAAAAAAAATCAGATTATTCTTTCATGTTGCTTGTGGTCCTTTCCCCTTATGGTTGGTAGATTATGCTTACACGTATTTCTTTTTACATGTAGTATGTGAGACCTGGTGCAGCAGCCATCCCTGGAGGAGCAATTGTTGGTCCTGGAGGTGCCCCTGGTCAGGTTCGCCCACCTATGAATATTGGTCCTATTGCTGGTCGTGGGAGAGGTGATTGGAGACCGGTTGGAGTTAAGACTGCACCTGGTGCGCAAAAAAGCTTCCAGTCGGGTTTTGGAGTACCTATTTGGGCTAGTGGTTCATCTGGACGTGGTTTTGGTAGTGGATTAGAGTTCACACTTCCATCTCACAAGTAAACTTGGCATAGTTGCATGAGCTTATTCAACTTTTTGATTATTTTTTAATGAAGATATGTACTGTTTTCAATTTTTCCATTCATGTCTTGTGCTTTGCTTGGTTAATAGTCAAATAGTTTTTCAACCTCTTGGAGTTCTTATTGGTTTCTATGAAAAGTATTCAAGTGCTCTTAATGGAATGACTTCATGATACAGTTAATTCCTTTCTTGTGAATGATTATATTTGTGAAAATGCGTATATTGAGTACAAACATAAAGATATGAAAATTTTATGCTGATTTATTTGATCCAAGTTTTTGTTGTGCACATTTTTTTTGGTATAGACACAAGTGAGAAAAGTACAGTCATCACTACTGTCTACAAATATGAGAATAGGATCTTAAAGGCCTCGATGGAGGGACACCATAATTATAAGAACATCAACTCAAAAAATGACCAAGGAAACTCCTCACCTGAGAGGTTCTGCCCCCCAATACAATCCACTTGTCTCCTATTCCACCCTTGGCTAGTCTCTGTTTGTTAGGGATTTTGTTGAGCTAGATACCCATGCGAATGATGTTTCTCCTGTGGTGGCCAAAGCTGTAGCCTCGCGGACATACCGACATGGTTCAATAATACCCTGGGTTACCCCTTCTGAGCCTCCATCTTCCACCAGCCTGTGCCTGCCAAGTTCTCGTAAGGCGATGTCAATTTAAGCCCCTATATAAGTGTTAGATATATGTTCATTGGTGTAATGTGATCTCTCAATCATATTTGATTTAAGATGTCAAAGTGTTGTCAGTTTTTGGATTTTTTATCATTGTGGGAGGCAAACCCTGAGATTGAAGTTGAAGCGATGATTTAGAGAAGTAGGCGGGAGGTTGAAGATGAAGTTGATGAGTCATGGTGGGCGCCATGTGGAAGTGAAAGAATGGGTATAAGAAGAGGGGTGGAAGTAAAGGAATGGGTATAGAAGAGGTGTGGGTGCAAAAAAATGTTGGGGGAAGATGAAGGGGCTTTAGGGGGAAAGAGATTGATTAACTCAAAAGAAATTGATTAACTTGAAAGAAAAGGTAATAAATTCAAAGCTGTTTAAAGTTGATCTGGTGGCATGGAACGGATCTTGTGTGGAAGGGGTAAATGGTGGTTCCACCTCAGATAAGTGGTGGGGACGAGCTAACTCATCTGAAGATAAAAGAACCTGGAGTGAGATGGAAGACAGTTGAAGGTGCATAACCACTATATAGATCGGGTCTTTAAAACCATTGATCAATTTATTGGTTTTGGCCTGTGTGATAACTGTAGTCATCATGTGAAACCTTTAGAAATGGGTTTGCTGGGAGATGATAAATTAGATCTATCATCCCCCCCCAAAGTTTAGGTGAGCCTAAGGTTCAATCTTATCGCGATAACAAATCATTGGCTCAAAGGAAAAATCGTGGTGTAAGGGTTCTAGTAAGTAAAAGGACAGAAATGAAGGGGAGAGGCAAGTTTGTTTGGTGAGTTATGAAGTATAGATATATTTTTTTGATAAATGAGAGTAGTTTTATTAATTCAAATAACGAAAATACAATCAGCCTAGGAGGAGGCACACGATGTTACCTCCCCCGAGGACTGAACCATATACACTAAACACGCCCAAGCCTGAAACACAATTACAAAGTAGCCCAAAACAGATCTCCCCTTGACACCCCTTGCTTGGCCAGAGAATCAGCCATTCATTTGCTGATATTCTGACCCACTGAAACCTGACAGTCATATTTCTTGTCATTCATTTAACTTTCTTTAACAGATCCCTGTAGCCCCAACAAGCTGTTTCTGGGCTAATCAGCCAGCCTACTACTACCTTGGAATCCCCTTCTACTAATAGATTGTTCACTCCAATTTGACTGGCCATCTGTATACCTTGTACTGCTGCTAGTAGCTCTGCCCTTACAGAATCACCTTCACCCACTGGTCCTGAAAATAGAGACAACATATTGCTGCCTTTGTCTCTCAGAATCCCACCAATTCCGGATGACCTTGGGTTACCTTGGCAGCTGCCATCTAAATTCAATTTTACCATTCCATCTGGTGGGGGTTTCCATTCAACTTGTGAATTGTTCTTGGTGGAGATTGTAGAAGCCACTGCAGCCCAGTTTCTCCTTAAGTCATCAAAGGAGTAATCTGCCAACAAATGTGAAGATATTAACCATGAGATAGTCCTTGTCAATATACATTCCTTGATTTCAGCAAGACTTCTTTCCTGTTCTTGAAATATTCTAGCATTTCTCTCCTCCCATAAAGTCCACAAGGCAGCAGCTCTGATACATTTCCACATTAGCTTCCCTCTTTTTGTCAATCTCCCAAAAGCAGCCAGAGTGAACAGCAGCTTTACATCAGAGGGCAGTAAAGGAGCATGATATCAGCAAATGGTTACAGTCCTCACCCTTCACTTTACACAGAAAGCACCAATTTGGGGACAAACACATAAAAAGTTTCTTCTTTTGCAAGTTTTCCACAGTATTGATCTTACCATAATAGGCTTCCCAACAGAAAACTGCTATTTTGGGGGGAATTGGCCTTGACCAAACCTCTTTAATAGGGAAGACCTGAGAGGAGGGGTTGGAGCAAAGGGTTTTAAAGAAAGATGCACAAGTGAAGGAGCCAACCAGGGTTAGGAACCATACTCTTTTATCCGGGTTAGGGGGGGTCAAAACACACCGAATCTAGAAGCAACAACAGCTCTGAAAACAAAGAAATTCTTCATCCCTTAACCCTCTTCGAAACCCAAAATCCTAGTTTAAAGCCAAAGGGCAAACCGGGGGGGGGGGGAAGGAACCATGAAATTGGTTTTCTTTAAAGAGGGAGATGGAATAGAGAGAAGGGAAACGGTCTTTTAGGGGTTGAGTGCTCATCCAAGTATCTTCCCAAAAAAGAATGGAGTTTCCAGAACAAGCATCATAACCTTACAAAACTTAGGGATTTAGGGAGAATGCCATAAATAGCCTTCCAAGGTGTTGTGAGCAAAGCCCTTCAGGATACCCTGCATCCCAACCTGATTAAGAACAGCCATGGTAACAGTTCATTATTGTGCATAATGAACTCATAAAAATGGTACAAATTAATGAAAATTTGAAATGCAGAACCCATTTTATTAACATTATTTTATTGCATAAATTAATGAATAATAATGAAAAATACCAACAATTAGTTAAAAATAAGAAATGCAAATATAAAAATATTAATTGATAGTTTTAATAGTATTATTAGATAACTTTGTATTAATGCATTTTTAATTAATTAATAATTTTTATGAGTTGAGACCTTTATTGTGCATAATGAACTCATTAAAAATGATAAAAATTAATGAACATTTAAAATGTAGAACCTGTTTTATTAACAGCATTTTATTGCAAAGTTATGGAGTATACTTAACTTATCAAAAAAAAGTTATGAAGTATATTTTCAGCAAATAAGAAGCAAGACAGTGGAGATCCTAGAGATAAAGGAGCTTGAGGTGAAATTTGAAAAGTATGCATCAGGGGAAGAACTGGGTAGTGTAAAAGAATCAATGTGCTCAAAGAAGACATTTTCAGTGCGATCTCTTGAAAAAGAGACTTAGAAAGGTGAGTTAGGCAACATTGTTGGGGATGACTGAAGGGAGGATATAGTGAAGGAGATGATAGATATGATTTCATAGAGGCATGAGATAAAAACAGAAGTTTGATTGTTGAGAGACGAGACAAAAAATTATGGAAGAGGAAAGGGGGTTTGATGAGGAGAATAGAGAGGTTTTTGGACCTTTCAGTAGGAGAATAGGAGGGAATATCTGAAATGAAATTGTGGAAAAAAAGAATACAAGAAGAAATGGGGAAGGGGACTGAAAGAAGAGTGGAAGAGGAAGAGAGGCGTGTGGAAGGGGAAAGAATTACCTATATAAAAGAAAAAGAAAATATCAAACATTTCTGGTACAGGAAGTTAGTAACAATGTAATAAGGGTGGAAGGGGAAAGAATTACCTATATAAAAGAAAAAGAAAATATCGAAAATTTTCTGATACAGGAAGTTAGTAAATTTTTACTAAGGGAGGAGAATGGAAATATCATTGCCATGTTCTCAGGCCCTACCCAGCATGGTGAAATGGTGAATTCAGAATTGAAGGCAGCAGTGTTTGGTTTTGAGAAAGCTAAAGAGTTGGGGATTAACAGGTTGATTATTAAAGGGGACTCAAAAGTTGTTGTAAACTGGATGAAAAAAGGGGAAGGAGCAATTTGGAAATTAAGAAATGAGTTCAGGCGCTTTAAGCAGGCTTCTAAAGATATGGAAATTCACATAAGATGGATTAGGAGGTCAGTTAATGGCATAGCTGATGGTCTAGCTAAGCAAGGAATCCAAAGGCAATCTATGTTCTGGGCTATGTTGTAGCTAGTGGGATATCCCTTGGGTCCTGTTGGGGCTTTTTTGTAACTAATGGATTTCTTTGTTGGGTTAAGCTTGGGTATGTATTGTAATTAGTGGGGGTTTAGGTGGACTTTATGCCTACCCACAACTTCTTGTTGTACACATTCTGATTCTAATGAATCTCTTTGTGTTGCTGATAAAAAAAAAGTTAGTAACAATGGTAATGTTACAGTTGATATTCAAGATGATGAAGACAACTGTTCAAGTGATGAAGATGTCTAGTTAGATGAAACTCATGTTGTTGAGAGTTCAGTCGACTGGGATAGGAGGGGTTTTGAGAGATAAGGATTGTAATATCTTATCCCTATTCTCTGGATTAGTGGGAATAGGAGATTCTACAAGGGCTGAGTTGCTAGCTGCTGTGCAAGGGATGCAGCTCACAAAGCAGATTGGGGTGGAGAATTTACTAATTGAAGGTGATTCCTAAGGTGGTTGTGTGATGGTTGGACCCTGGTTCTGTCATTTTGTGCTACAGGGATCTTCTCAAAAAGGTCAAATGGCTGACTAGAAGTATGGGAGTTAGAGTTCAGTGGGTGGGCAGAACGGCAAATACTTTGGCTGATTCATTTGCTGAACAAGGGGCTTCTTGGGATGCTACTTTGTAATTTTTGATTTGATTAGCTTTGAGATTCTGTGATCTTTTTAAAGGAGAGGTCACATCTTGTGCCACTCCTTGGGATGCTTGTATTTTCACTATCTATTGATAATAAAATTAAACTTCAATTATCAAAAAAAAAAAAAGAAAAAGAGTTCAGTCGACCTGGAGACTGGTGAATACTGAGGTGGAAGTGAGCAAGCCTTTGGAACTTCTCTTCATAGGTGGTGTGGTATTTGAGAGGAAAGCTTTTAGGGAACTGGAAGAGAAATTTGGGATGCCTATTGAAGGAGACTGATGTGGGTTTTGAAGAAAAAAAATCAAGGATTGAAGATAGTTGCTCCAAGGGTCACTGGGCCTGTAGGGGCTGGGCTGTCCATGAAGGGGGTGGAAGGTCAATAACAGAATAGGTTTTTGAAAAAAAAAAACGGTTCTGGACTGGAATTAGTAGAGGATTAATGAGAATGCTAAGGATGTGAAGGTTTTGAGGGTGGCTCCCCTTGTGGTGAGAAGGTTCAGAAGTAATAAAAAAAAATTGAAATGCTCTGGTTTCAAAAGCATTTGATAGATTGAGAAGGGGCTTATAGGGCCAAACAAGACGGTAAAAAAATCAAAGAAAATAACTAAGAAGCCAATTGGTTCTTGATTAAGTTTTAGAGAAGATAATCAATGGCGATATGGTTTGGGAATGTAAATTGGTTGTTGTTTCTCTAGGTTTGTGGGTCTGAGGGTATCTTTGTGGGGTTTGTTTCCTTGTTTTCTTGATCTGGATGGCAATTAAATTTGTATGCTTTTTTTTGATATTAAAAGGAAAATTTCATTAAGGCTGCGTTTGTTTTAGGTGGAAATTCAGTTTTACACTGATGAAAAAGCTCATGCCGGTTCGGTGATCGATGGAAAATAGAACCGGGTGAATTTAAATTTTTACATTGATGATGTTTGGTTGTCACAGTGTAAAGTGAAAGGCTTCCACTTTGTTCCTGCTCTGAAACTCTCCCTATCTCGGCAATGCATGCCGGAGACTAGCGTGTCATTGCCAGATAATTTTCTCTTCGGAAAATACGAACTCGGGAATGACTCTCTCTCTCTCTCTCTTGATATTCCCCACCCTAGTCTCCTTCACCGCCATCCTCTTTCTCCGTGAGGTCCCACTGTCCTCTGGCTCCACCCAAGATGCAAATACAAACAAGGAGGCTCCGTGAGGAACCTCAATCTCAATGTTCTCGCAACTGCACCTTGCTCCGTCGGCCTTATTATTGATCGTGGTCTCTTTGCTGCCTCCACCACCGCCATGTCACTGCACTTCATGTGCAGGCGACTGAGGAGCATTGCACCTTGCTCCGTGAGATTGAGGAACCTCAATCTCAATGTTCTTGCAACTGCACTTCGTGTGGCTGTCATCTTCTTGGGTGGTGCAGACGACTGAGGAGCATTGCTACATGCTTCCCGGATGGTGGAAGGTCCAACCACAGCTGCCCTACTCATCACACAGTTGATCCTCTCTGACTCTTCTTCAGGTTTTCCTACAGAAGCCCAGGTAACGGTATACTACACATGTTAATTGGAAGATTTACAGTATATTTTCGGAGGCTGGAGCCCTTTATCCATCCTTTGTTTTAGTGCTACATTAACCTCTTAACATTTGTAGCTCAGTTACTAGACGCAGACTACCATTTCATGAGTCATTTCCAAACTATCTCCTACACAAATGCAGCAGTAAGTATCAAACGAGGAAATTTCACAAAACATCTCAGTCATCATTGCTGCGTGATCCCATTTCAAGCAAAGAGAGAACAACAACAGGCCCAAGTACAGGTGGAAGTGGAGGTCTATTGAAGGCGACAATGGGCTCTGCCTCCGCCTTGTCATCTGTCATGGGTCCTTCTCCCTCCCCAACATCATCGTTTGATTGCTTTTAGGGGCCGAAGTTGCCATTATCCCTGGTTTTTACACATGCAGTTCTGAGTCATATAAACTAGGTACTTACCACTAAGCAAAAGGGGATCTATCTAAAGAGCAGAGCAAGCATTACCATATCACCCACCATCCCACCCTAGTCTCCTTCATTGGAAATCATGGCCGACTTCTTTACATCACTTTTGCCGTCGTGCTTTTCATCCTGCTAGTTGCACCCTTGGCCATCCTGTTGTACTCTGCATTTCAGAACTGGAGATTGAAGTCAAGATCCAGCGATCTTGAACATCAGATCAAAGAGCCGTTGTTGGTTCATGGAACCACACCAGTGACACAGCCGCAGAAGCCACAGGCGAAGATGGGGGAAGTGGAGGTGCGGCTGTCGCCCCCTGTGATCGGAGAAGAACACACAATCCTAGAAGCGATCAAGACCTTGGATTTCTGGGTCTTGTGGGTACGGGGTTGGTGGTAATGAACAACATGGGTCAGATAGGTGGGCACTTTCGATAATTTCCTCTTCAAATGATGCCATTCTCCGGTGAAATGGTTGCTCGGAAAAGATAATGATGGAGTAGAAGCTATTTGACCGTTGAAGAGTTTTACAACGAAGAAGATGGAGATTTACATCAATTTTATAGGTGGTAACTTTCCACCGATTCTCGATGTAAAACTCATCCTAAGTGGAGTTTTACGCTAATTTACGTTATAAAGCAACACCTAAAACAAACACAGGGAAATTTGAACCGGGGTGTAAAGTTTACCCTGGTTCTCATTTACACCCAAAACAAACGCAGCCTAAAAGAGAAGAAAAAAAGCACAATCTGAGTAGGTGTTGAGGCAACACCCACCATCAACAGAAACAAAAACATTCATCACCAATTGTCCAAATTACAACTTTGTAATCCCAACACCTCCCAAAGACTATCCCTAAGGTCTTCTTTCTTGACTTGTGCAAAATCAGACATCACATCCTAAATCAAATTTCTCCAGCTTTGTCTCTTGTAGCAGCACCACATCTGGACTGAATTTTCTCACCACCACCTTACTAAAACCCTTCTTCCATCCCCTGACATTCCAAGATAGCAGTCTCATTTCCAGATTCAACCTCCATCGACCCTCCTCTTTTTTACTTCTGACAGCCCTTTCGGTCTTCTTCTACCAGATCTTCTTCCCTCCCTTTTCCTTCCTCCCACTCCTTACCCTCTCTCCAAAAACATTTTTCTTGTTTTTTTTTTTTCTTCTCTCCTGCTTCTTTCAAACTGTTCAATTGCCCTCCTGACCACTCTCTCCTCTCCTAGAAAAAATAAACCAAGAGAAATTTCCACCTCCACCTGTCTCTCCACTAGCTTCTCAATATCCACCCTTTTCTCCTCAATGCCTTCCTCTTTTGAAACCTCCTCCCCTTTAAGGCCCTTGACCGTCTCTCCTACCTCCCTTATCTCCTCTCCCGAGACCTCTTGCACTCTCACTTACCCCCCTTTTTTCCTGGCTTCTTCATTTCCCTGATAGAAAATTCTTCTTTTTCTATCATAGACCCTCTGCTGCTGCTCACTCCTTTTCTTCCATGTTAAGAAAATTTCTCTTTCCTTTATCTTGCCTGCCTACCTCTTCTTCAACTCCGATTCCTTCTCCTCCCTTTCCTTGCTGTCATCTTTCAATGCCTTTGAAGAAATTAAAGGATTTGAGCTCACCTCAATATTCAGACAAGCAACAATCTCCAAAGTTCTTGAACTGGTCAGGACATTCAGTGAGATTCCTTATGCTGCTACAGAATCCTCCTGGTTAGCTCTGCCCCTCTCCCTAGCTGCATTATCTACACTCCTCAAAACTCCTCTTACACCATCAATAACAGCTTCCTGAAGCTGGAAATCAAACAGCAAACAAATCTGGATCTATGAAAGACCTTCCGGTTCATGATTGGACTTGCGAGCTTGATGAAACACTTCCTCTTCCAGCTCTGGTGCTTCTTTCAGCTGCTGGTTGACTGTATATGTCTTCTCCGATTCCTTGGCTTCTCCACCATCGAATGACACGATCTTCCTTCCTCCCTTGAATCTTGCAACAACGCAGACCCATTCATCTGTTGAGTTCACTGATCCTATTTTCTTCTCTCTCTCTCTCTCTCCCTTTTTTCTCTATCCTATTGGCCTCAATTTTTCTTTTCCGAAAATTCCTCTTAACACCTCTAGCCTCTGGTTGTTTGGTCTGAGTGCTATTTTTTCTGGATTTGACTTTCTTGGAGAGTTGAAATGTGGAGTGTTTGGCAAGGGTTTGAGTGGTTTTAGGGTTGGAGGTGGTTGTGAATAGGATTTGTCTTCTCTTTTCTATCGGGTGACTTGTTGTCACCTTTGTAATATTCTTTTTCTTTTAATAAATTTGATTTTACTACCATCAGTTATATACTGTTATTTTAATGAATTTCCTCTTTCCTTTTTGATCCAAGAAAAAGAAAAGAAGAGGTTCCATCTTTATTTTAAGTTTGCTTTCAATGTTATTTAATTTGAGCTATACAACTTAATTGTTTGATTAGTTTGAATGAGTGCAATGCTAGGATTTGCCTCTTTCACTTAGGTGCCAACTGTTTGTTGATTAATCCCCAACTTAAAAGTGGAATAACATTTGTTATGCAAACTTCCTAAATCCACCAATAACATTTCTGAGATTTTAGTTGGAGAGGGTATCAAGTGAACCATGTTTTACTGAAAACTTTGTTAACTGGCATAAGGGATGCCTGTATTTTGAGCTTTTCTGCAGGTCCTTGGATTATGGATCTTGTTTGTAGCTTGAGTTTATTTTCTGAGCCCTTGGATTTTGTATCTTTATTTTCCTATTTGCAATAAACTTTTCAGTTTATGATTCAAGGAGAAAGAACTCTTTTATTTACCTTTGTTTATGGATTGGGAGTTGTAGTTGTAGCGTGATTTGTGTATAATAGTTGCTTTGACCCAAAAATATGTCACCTTTCTGTACACATATTACCCCTTTTACTGTTTCTATTTTCCAGGACAGTATTTGATGTAGACATTGATAATTTTTCGGAAAAGCCATGGAAACATCCTGGTGTTGATGTATCAGACTTCTTCAACTTTGGGTTGGACGAAGAGAGCTGGAAAGATTATTGCAAGCAGCTTGTAAGTGCCAATATTCTGTTGATAAGCTACTGTTGGTTATTAAATAGAGTGTCAACCTTCCTTTATTTAGTTTATTTGATATCCTTTATCAAGGCTTCTGATTATGCAGGAACAAATGCGCCTAGAGGCAACCATGCAAAGTAAAATTCGTGTTTATGAAAGTGGGCGATCAGAGCAGGTATTGGGGAGTCTGGATCTGCTGCACTTGTCATGCACTTCCACTCAGTCCGTGATGGGTGGACATGTTTGGTCTCGTATGCATTGGTATTTACACATGTAATGCATACCTGTCGCAGACTGAATGGAAGCGCATGGCAAGTGCAGTGTAAAAAAGTGCAGCAGATTCCAACATAACCTTCTCCTAATTCTACTTAATTTCAGGACTACGACCCAGATTTGCCCCCAGAGCTTGCAGCTGCAGCAGGTATTCATGATGTTTCAGCTGAAAATGCACATATTGGAAAGACAGATGGTGGGCAAGGTGATTTAATGGGCCAAGGAAGAGTTGCACGACCACGACCACCAATAGTATGTTAAAGCTATTTATTTTCTTACTTTGCTGGTGACCTCTTTCACACAACATAATTTTTTTTTCCTTAATGTTTACTTAGCTCTTTTTTTTAGTTTTCTAACGGTATTTGTATATGCCTGTATATGCATACACACATACATTGGATACCCGTGCCTATGGGTCACGAACACATACTCTCGCACGCACATCACATGTACACATGGATTTTAGGTATATCATAAATACATGCATATATATATATATATGTACACACACACATGGTTGTTTTAACCAATCCATTTAGAGAAGAATATTAGTTGACCATGGGAATCTTCATTGCAGCATCACCTAAGCCGAAAAGGACCTAATCCTCCCAAACTACCTTTTTCGTGAGGCAAAAATTTCAGCACCTGGCCACCTGCCCAACTTAACTTCCCTTTTCTCAGCAGTTTCTGAATTAAAATAATGGATGTAGAAGGTTAATGTCAGCTGAGGAAAGATCCAATAAATGAAGGGGTTTAGGGATAATGTGACCAAGGGAGTGGTTACATGAGAAAGCAGGGGTTTTCCTACCTGGTGGATGGTTGGGGCTTGGAATTAGTTACATTATCCCTCCACATGTCAGAAATGTAATAGCCCAGCTACACAAGTATCAACTTCCTGTCCTATTGTGTCCACAATGTAATAACCCAGTTATATTGTGTCCACAATGTTCATACCATAACACTATCAACTTGCTGTTCTATAGGTTTTATTAATTTTGTTTTGCTTCTATCTCTTGTTTTGTTCATCTCATTTTGTTTGAAAACCAGCCAACTGGGAGAGCAATACAAGTGGAAGGTGGTTATGGTGAACGTCTTCCTTCCGTAGATACCAGGCCACCACGGATCCGTGATTCAGATGCAATAATAGAGGTAGAAAGCCCTGTCCAGACTCAGCTCAATCTCAACTTCTGTATATCTCAATGATCATTATATTTATCTGTGCATATCTTTATAAAACATATGAGTATGGACTTACATATGTCAGTGAACAGATTGTCCTACAGGATTCGGCAGATGATGATTCCGTCACAGATACTGGTACCCTCAAACAGCAAGATAATGACTCCCAAGGGGAGGGCCTTAAAGGACATCGCGAAGCTGAAGAAGATATTGGGCAGACTGAGACTGAATACTATGATGACCGTTTCCCAGAAAGTTATAATGATAGGAAAAGGGAAACAGTGGCCAGAAGAGCATCATATATGGGTTCCGTTCACAATACCATGCATGAAGGAGATGGGATTTTGCCATATCCTGCTGATGCACCTGTTCAATACCATCCTGGTTCCAAGGGGAGGACTCCTGTATACCCTGGTAGTGTCTTTAGCACGCCACATGAAGAAAGGTACTACATAAATATAGGGTCAACATTGTCTTTGTTTATGTTTGATAATGGTCAAATTAGTAATCCTTGTCTAAATCATTTCTTTCTATACCTACTAGAGTCTTGGGATTTGGGGAGTGAAAAATGTAATCCTTGGAGTTTTGCTTAAACTCTGTTCAAAGTTCATTGGTCAGCCACTGAGGTGGCACAAAAAAATTTCTCCTTTTTCACAAAACCCTACTGAGCTAAGGAGCAAAATGTTGAATTTAACCTGCATATTCACTACCAACAATATTCTCTGTTTGAGTTAGATATACTAGTTATCAGTTCCAATTAATTGCTCTCCATCACAACTTTTTTGAGACCAAGTTTCTTTCCAAAAACTTCTCCTTTAGGGGGCATTTGTTTTTTATATTTTGAGGGTGTGGGGGGGGTGTTGGTCAATGGGATTTGGTTCACATTGACCAAGAAACATGCTTTTTTCAGATTTATGTGGGGACCAGGGAAAATTTATTTTCCTGGTTATCACTTACCTGGGTAAGTGATAACCATCTCCCAGGTGGGTAAATAATTTTTCTACCTGGGGGAAGTTGCCAACAATTTGATAGGACAAAAAATACCCCTTTTAATAATAGATTTTTATGGCTAAAACGGTCATTGTCTTATTTACCTGGGAAATAAAAGAACATGGGTAATGTAATTGGCCGGGTAAGTATTTCCCAGGAAACACTTACCTAGGTAACTTACCTAAAAGCGAACAGGGCCTTAAGTGCAAAAGCTAACAGAAGCATTAAATATAATTTCTGTACTATATATGCAGACAGTCCAGAATGGAAACTAAAGAATGATTTAGTGGAAAGCAAGTATATAGTTAGGTATTATCATCCAACCCTTGTTGTCCCAAGCAACCACAGAAGTAATTGGACTCTCAAATTGTGAAGAACCACCAAATGGATAATTCTCAAAAGGATCTTTGTCATGATTGCTGGATGCTGTTATAAAAAATCTGTTCTCTACTATAATTTACTTATTTTATCAAGTAGGAAACACATTAATTAATTAATTAATTATAACATATTTATCAGCTGTAATTAAATATAACTCTACACACAACTTACTACAGTTTCCAGATAATCAGATGATATCACATGCTACTAAGCCCAAAAACTTATTAATGAATCATTCGGGGCAAATCCTAGGGAGAGTAGATTTTGGACCCCAGTGATRGAAAAGTTTGAGAAGAGATTAGCCTCATGGAAGAGGAATTATGTCTCTTTAGGAGGGAGAATTACCCTAATAAGAGCTACCTTGGCTAACTTACCTTCCTATTTTTTGTCTGTTTTTAGGATACCAGTTAGGGAAGCTAGGAAACTGGAGAAGT